TTCCTCCTTTCTCCCTCTTTTACCCACAGTAAGGCAAAAATCAAGCCTTCCAGGGAAAGCTAAGCAAATATGCTGTTCGCACAATAAACCAAGGTCAGCCCCCGCCGCCCCCTGTGAAAAAGCAGCGAGGCTAACGAAGAGACACAGTAGTAGGTGGCACTTATTTCCCGCTCACGTCGGTCCCCCGAGTTACTACTCCGACGGCGCGTAAAAAAACAAAACGCCAAGAAAAGGCGAAAAAACTGGCGCCAGAAAAGAACAGGGACGAAAAACATCCAATCACAACACGCACCACGCGTGTTCTGCTTCCTTGCGACTCCCTCTGCCTATGCCTACGACACGACTGGCTGCGCTCTTGTCGCTCCGTTTGCCTGGTGCAGGACAGGCGTGAGCGTCATAAAAAATCCTGCAAACCCCGGCCGATCATTCAAGATTGGTGTCATGGCCAGCGAACAACACAGTAGCAGTACGGGCAACAACAACAACCGCCACATGACCATCTTGGACAACACGCTCCATTCCTAGCTCTCTGCCAAATTTGGAATCATCTTGCCGCGTACCCCCCCGCCCTATCCGGTACAGCAGTCTCTTGCATCACGCCACACACGGTGCGACACGAGCTTGGCATGCCTCCAGGGAACGATGACATACACACACGACAGCAGTACAGCACAAGGTCGGCATCTATCTCTCGAAAGGCACCGCAAATAAGAACAAGAAGTAGTACAACATCATCAAATGTTACGGAAGGTGTGGTGCGTCATGACGGCATGCACGGGCAACAAGAAAATACCCCTCCCCGGCCAGCGAAAACCCGGCAGCATATCGCCCCGTCCCGGTATCGTAGGGGTGCGAGGTCAATGGTCCATACGGCATGCATTTACACGAGAACAATCCCCCCCGCCCGCGGCCGCGGGCGCCTCTCGCCGTCCGCTCTATTCCAGCCTTAACGGTTCATCTCCATGGGGGCCTGGACGGCAGGGATGTTTAGGTGCTCCATGACCGCGTCGATTTTGGCGTGCAGGTGCCTGATCTCCTTCAGGTTCTCCTCGGCCCTCTTTATCTGCCCGGTGTCGCCGCGGTGCTTCATCCTATCCGCCGGTCGCACCCAAGAGGGGGTGGGGGTGGGGGTGGGGGTGGGGCGAGTACTCTCATGTTTTGCATGCCCTAGCGGTTAGACCATTGACCACAAGGACGTAGCATTGTTCCCACAGGGCCGATCACCCATGATGGCCAATCTTTACTTCCTACTTTGCCAAAGGTCGCTAAAAAGGTCGTCTCTAGCCTATCTATCCTATCGCGCGCGGGGGCACAAGAGCAAGGACTGGAGTCCTTTTCATTGGTCAGTCGGTCCGGGTGGTAGATACCACCAGAGCTTAGCTCACGCTGGCAGCCGAAACAGACGCAAAAGAAGCCGCTAGAGCGGGGGTAAAGCAGAGAGGAACAATATCATCGTCAAAAATGGCAACCTTGTTAGGGCGAAGCAAGTCAACCGTGCCAGTGGCAAAAATGAGAAGCAGCGCAAAAATATATATACCCTGTTCTCCGCCTACATGTAGCCGAAAACCCAAAGCTAAGCACCAACACGCCATCGCGGCACACCTGCGTCCATGCGTGTATGAACCCAAACCCAAACCCCGCATTTTGCTTGCTGTTGAGCGGGGGGCGCGTGGAAGGGTAGATGGTGCAAGAAACCCAACCAGAGAACCACAAAAAACGCGTCCGGAGAGGAGAAGCTCGCATGATGACATGGCCGAATGACGCCAGGAGCATGCATATGATGTACCGGGTACAAGCCCCTCCTGTGACTATTTCTTGAGGCTTATTCTTGGAGTTTTTTTTATTTTTTTTGTTTAGGAAAAGCAAGCTATCACTGCTGCTGTATACCTCTTCTTGAGCTCCTCCACAATCTCGTTGACGAGAGCGGTCTCGCAGCAGTTGCCCGGGATGATCGCGGCCTGGCCGCCGCCCTCAGACTTGGTCGGGGACAGGTTAGAGGTGAAACCGACGAAGCAGCAAACGTTCTCCCTCTCCACGCTCCCGAGCTCTCCGTACGGCCTGCGGGCAGGCGCGGGAGGAACAAGCATTAATATTTATTGGTTGGTCGTGTAAAAAAAAAAAAGGAAGGAGAGGAGGAAAGAAAAATGCGGTCGGTAACCACAAAAAAAGGAGGATGAATGAGACCACGGGTACGTGCGCGTTTTTTTCCGCTAGTCATGCAAAAAAAACTGGAGAAACATAAAAAAAAGAGAGCGGTAGTAGTGGGCCCTAAACAACGCCGGAACTTGCTGGGCACAGGCTGAATCACCAAGGCATTTCCCGTACTCTGAATAGCGCCAGTGTCCCACAAGAGTGCTGGTGTCCCATATGAGTGCTGGTGTCCCACAAGAGTGCTGGTGTCCCATAAGAGTGCTGGTGTCCCGTAAGAGTGCTGGTGTCCCACAAGAGTGCTGGTGTCCCATAAGAGTGCTGGTGTCCCACAAGAGTGCTGGTGTCCCGTGGAGTGCAGGTTTGCTCGGCTGGCACAGACGGAATCGCCAAGGCATTTTCCGTACTTTCAATAGGGCGTGGTGGATTCGCCGGGCACATGCCGGCATCATTGAGGGCCCACTGTTATACTCTACCATGAAAGGGGGGCGGGAGGCCCGGGGTCGCGTGCGGTTTTCCGTATGCTTGCTGGAATAGTAATTGTGGTCCTTGTGTGTGAAGGCCGCAGAAGCAAGGCCGGCCTCCTTAGAGGTGCCGAGAGGCTCGGTACTTGTTTCTTCATGGTGTGTACCCGAGCGAAGCGTATGGTAGAGAATAAGTGACGGAAGGCCGATGGAATCGGGTGACGGATGGAATATTCAATACTCGGCGTGTCGCACTACTCTGATATAATGGTACCCGGTGAAACAGGCAACGGCCAAAATCCCCATCAGTAGGTGGGACCACTGCTGCTTGATTCGCTCAGTCGATAAAAAACGCAAGGAGGCTTTTGGCTCTTGCTGCATATACCATGATTGTCGGCTGAGCGCGGTGGTGTAAAAAGAGCGAACGTACAAGAGTGCGGTGGCAAGCGGTTTTTCGGGGGGGGGGGCACCGCCTTGCGAGTACTGTACAGAAACGGGCCAGGACCTAAAAGAAAACATTTCGCTGACAAACAGAGGCTCAAATTTTCACTAAGAAATGGAGTGTAAGAAAATAGGGTCTGACAGACAGACCTCAGCGGTGGATCCTACACTACTCTACACAACGACCTGTGCTCGACAGCAGTGGCGACAGAACAAGTAACTGAGCCTAGCCCCGAGTTGGACGGGGTTTTTTATCTCCAGGCCCGTTCTATGCATGTACGTACGTACCTGTGGGCCACGGAGTGGTAGATGCAGCAGTCCTGGGTCAGGATGGCCTCCTCCTCTTCCAGCACGAGAATCTTCTTGCCGAGCACCCCGGGGCATATCGCGGCCCACGTGAGTGGGCAGGTGATGATGAGGCAGCACTGGCAGTACGTGTCTGCCAAAGGTGGTGGTGACGGGGGGCGATGGTCGCAATTAGTCCAAGCACAAGCAGCAGCAGCAACGAGGAACACCTTTTTTTTTGGGGGGGGGTAGGGGTTGGTTGCCGTTCGTTGTGGTCGCAGTATGACTAGAAGCGGCTTCCGGCAGACACTGGCGGGGGGTGGGTAAGGAGGAGGCACGCATTCATTCGTGCTTCCTTCTGCCGTAGTGCATCGGACCGTTGATTACGAGCATAGGGGTCAGCATGGGGGAGACATCAGACGACATTCATTGTTCCTGCCCTGACCCGGTCCTGTAGAGATAATATTTTCAAAGGCGGCCCCCTGGCTGTGGTTGCTGTGGCTGTTGTCTGGGTGATTTGCGCCGCCGAATCGTCTCATCCAAAGCACACAAGTCCACGCCAAAACGGCAGGAAGTAAGAAAAGTGAAAAAAAAAAATACGACCACTTTTCTTCCTTCACTTCTTCTCTACCATACGCTTTGCTCGGATACATAGCATGTAGAAACAAGTATCGATCCTCTCGGCACCTCCCTACCACAGTAGTCAGTCATTACCCCGGCGCAGATACGGGACGCCAACGCTCATTAAACATTTCACTCCCCCTAGCGGCAGGTGCACGATTCTCTCTGCGGAGGGTTTCGTTTCCCGCAGAATGTATTTCCAGAAACCTGTAGATCTTGGAAAGCGATGTATTTCTAACTATATCTAGCAGGTCGTGAGTTTCACACTTTAGCAGCTTCACGGTCGCCGAGGGAAGGGGATGGCTGAACCCTCCTCACGATAAAAACTGTTGCAAGGCACTGGTGGGGGCACAAAACAAAACAATTCATGAATAGAAAACGTCGTGTCTGTCTGACCTTCCCTCCTGTGGGACCCCAGCTGATACATACGTGAGCCAGATATTATATACAACGCAACGCGTGTAAACTATAGCGCCAGAATAGATGGCACACATACACACACACACACACACACACCGAAAACATACACTTGACGCGAACGAACGAGATACGTAGAGTAGATGTGCATGAACGCAATAGTCTAACGGTGCTGCTGTTGTCACGCCGCCGTACACCAAAATTTACCTGTTACATCGTACGTCTTCTTATCGAAAGTGTCGCCAACTTTCGCCTCCATTGCTGTTGCTGCTGCTGCTGCTGCTGCTGCTGAGGACGACCTGGCGTGGGAGAACATGCGCGGGCCGCGGGGTGGCCGGAAGGGAAGACATATATGAGGATACCCCCCCGAAAGAAACGAGGCCTACAGCTAACTGTAGTGTACACCCGAATTTTTCCCTGATCACTGCAAAGACTTCAACACCCCCCTTGGACTGCTACACGGAGGGTACAACCGCGCGGCCTGCCCCACCCACAGGTCGACCCGCACGACGATGGCCGAGAGCCGGAAGTATTGTCTGGAACGGTTACACGGAAGAACAATTTTCTCTTCATTCGAACACTCGACGAAACGGGCGTGTGTACGTGTGTACCGAAGGGGCGCGCGCGTAATGTAGTTCCACAGCTGCTGTCAAGCAGAGCACTCGAGAGCGGGGCAGAACATAGAAAATGCAGCCATGAGTTTTGCTGCCTTGGACAGAGAGTGGCGCTGACTTATAACTGGTGTGTTGTAGAAGCAGGTATTTTTTGTATTTTCGAGCGATGAGGGTCCCGCTGTCTCTTCAACAACAACTATTATAAACGCACTACAATACATGCGTATTACAACTTGCCATTTACAAGTGTACAACAAACGTGAATTCCTTGAGAGCGAACGACAGCAGAGATCGATCAATGTCTTCTCCCCTCCTCCCACTCCGTTCTCCTTCTGTTCTACTACTCTCACTCGCCACGCCCGTTACACCCCCTTGCAATGACCTGATAATAATCGATTTTCGCTAACGGCTGCTGGACACGCAAGCGTTCTTTTGAACCCACTGCTGGCTGGTGGCTGCGACTGCCGCTTGATACAGCAGTACTCTAGTGCATCGCGTTCTGCCTGCTGCTGACGTGGTATACCCTTCTGGTGTCTGCAAGTGCGTTGTGCGGCTCAAACTGGTTCGGAAGTGCACTGCATCGATGCACAGCCGTCCGAGCCAGCAGCAACTTCGGTGCAGCAGTGTCTACATGCTGCTTCTCCTGCAAGTGTCTGTCTTCGATCTAAACATTCTCTTCCCTCGTTCCTCCACTTTCAGCTGCGTCCTCGGCTCTTCTCAGCTCATGAGCTACATAGACTCTCTTTCCGTTTTACTCCTTCGCGTCCCACCGCGTGTTTAGTCTCTGCTACTCCACGTGCCTTGTCGTTGGGTCAATCTGTGTAAGGTCAATGTATGCTGCATGCAAGCACACATACACACAGACATCATACAGCCGTAACGGCTTTGCATTCTGCTTATGTTGTACAACCTTTCGTGTGAGAACACTTTCTACGATGCCGTACTGCCAGAGCTGCAGAAAGAACTACTGCCACCCTGAGGCGTCCAGATGAAACACATACCTTGCTTGCAACAAATCACGTGGGATAGGCTTTGTTTGTGCAGCAGAGGTGGGCTGGCGGGCTGGCTGGTGCTGTGTTCTGTGTTCGCTTTTGCGGGGGCGCCGGGATGGAGTAAGGCCCCCTCCTGCGGCGCATGCCTGGCCTTCTTCTGGGCCTTCTTTCTCTCCAGAACAGGTAAAAGAACAATGTTCGTGTGGTCGGGACGAGGCGGACACGCAAGAGCTGGCTAGGTCGAGAACCGCACTGCACAACAATCTAGCTTGGGGTGTGGGTTAGGGTTAGGTTAGTTAGGGTTTTGTATGGGTTAGGCCTATACTACATAGTGAGGCCCAGCGCCGTGCTGTAGCCTGAGGGCTGGAAACCTCCTACTACATACATACACATTGACTTCGATTTCCGGATTGAATTCCCGCAACATGGATATTTAGCCCAACTCACTCCGCCAATTTTAGCGGGATTCATCAGCTGGTAGTTGTGTAGCTCGGTCGTGTCGCGCACTATTAGAACTATTGTACGTACCGTGTCGTGTGCAGAGACTTTGGCAAGAAGAACTTGTCCAATTGAACTTTTCTATGCGTACTGATGATGACTGCAGTCATGATACTAAATAAAGTATCCGAACTAGCAGTGGCCATAATCGGGTACACCCGGTCCAAACACGGCCATAATCGGGTACCCCTACACGACGCTGCTGGGAGCGACCGCATGGCACCATCTGATTGGCCGACGTCCACTCCTACCCGACCTTGACTGTCTTTCCACCGGATGCACCCGATCTTGGCTACTCACCCCCCGGAGGGGTACCGATCGAATCGATCATGAACCAATGCATGAACGAACATACCAAAAGATTTGCATAGACAGATGTGGACCACCTTCATAAAGGTGTCGTGGAAAGCCCAACGTCCGTCGAGGACGATTCCCTCTTTTCACATAGATGCGAAACAAGCTTGCTTGTATTGTGCAAAACGATATTATTCATCATTCAACATTGCTATCTCGGCCCCTTTTTCACAATCTCGTCTCAGTTAACAAACCCAATTTCCACCACCACCAACCAGGACAGCACCCCCAGCCGAACTAAATCAGTCTGTCCAACAAAAGGCCACCAAAAAACCAAACAGACAGACAGAGACAATTCTTCTAAACTTAAAAAACTAGCTGTTTTTGTTGTATTGTTCAATAACACGAAGAACACAATGAAATAACAGCAGGTTCGACTGCTGCCTTGGCGACGGTGACAACACGGAAACGACTTGGACGCTGCTCGCCGCTTTTATCCAGCAAACTTTCAAGCGTTCGGTGTCTCCACACGACAGGGAGGGCCTATGACGGACGGGCCTACGCTCGCACATTCATGTGATTCGCCGCCAACAACAACATGCACCACGCGATACATAACCGCGTAGAGATTGTAGTAGGTGCCTCAACGACCACGTTCAATTGGACAACTTCCAAAAACAATGCCTAGCCACCGCCGCGACGTTTCTCCTACAGCCGAGACGTGGTCGTCAACGAAACACACCACCACCGCCACCAAGTGCCTCAAGCTCCGACCACTCAACCTGGCACACACCATCAGGCCGGAGGTTGGAGGTCAAAGGGCGAAACGCCCCAAGAAAGCCTTCGGCATAATACCGCAACCACACACCACGGCCGACCATTGCAAAGGAAAAAAAAAAAACAGGCAGGTACAGCGAATATAAATCGGTCGATCACGTGTTCCAAAGATGAGGCTGGGAAAAACGCCTACCTGTAGTGGGAGCCGCGCACCACTTACTTATCCCGGCATCTGCTTACACACGCAATAAATTCAACAGCTACGATAAAAAACTAAAATCACCTCCGAAACAAGGAAAACACGGGTTGGGGGGGGGGGGGGGGGGGGGCCTAACAGGCACCCCACCCCCCAAACGACTTTTCCACCATTAAATACCCCCCACACACTCTGGGTCACGCCTGCTTCGAAAAACCACGGGCTGACCCGCAGCCGCCTACACCCTTTGCTCCTTTGTCAAACGACAACGCACACGCACAGAATATCCACACACACACCCTCACCCACGGCGTTTCCATCGTCGACGTCCAACATCAAAACATGTTCGGAGACTCACACGAGCACAACCACACACAACACACACCAAGCTTCCCCAATCTCCCGTTCCTACGCATGTGCACCCGCGCGTCGCAAGCCATTTCATTGCACACAAAGCTAACCCCCCCCCAAATACACTCCGCACCCTCCATTTTCACCATTTACGTTACAAATGAAATAGTGTAGCACGCGGTCTGTAGGCGCTTGCGGCCAAACCAACACAACATCCGACCCCCCTTGTGTGTGCCCGACCAAAGTGTTACAACAAAAACTCTCCGGTCATCGCCGGGCGACACCACACGGCGTATACCACCTCTGCAGTAACCCTCACGTTTGAGCACCGGAGCGTGGTAATCCCCATCTCCCTCCACACGCATCCCACATCTCTCGCTGCACGCCCCCCCCCTCCCCCCTCTCCCCCTCTTCTCAAGGGCACCTCTCGAGTAGGGCCACCAAACACACAAACAAATCGTTGGCGAAACACTTGCACTCTTCTTCTACTGCGCCGCAGTCGGGACTCCAACTCTTGACAACCCCTCCCCCTCTGTCTCTTCCTCCGCCGCGTCGTGCAATCCATCGCTGTTGCTCTCGCCCGGTTGACTACCTCCCCCTTCTCCACTCGAGGTCCCGTCCGTGTGCCCCCCGACAGCACCAGCGGTGGCGGAGAGCTCGCCCGCCCCGCCCTCGCCGGCGCCGCTATCCAGGCCGTCCCCCCCTTCGCTACCACCACCACCACCACCACCGTTCGCAGGCGCAGGAGACTCGGACTCGGACTCCGCGTGTTGAAAGTGTTGCAGCTGGTTGAGGATGCTCGTCTTTTCCTCGCTCTTCGACCGCTCCTGCACGCGTACCTGCTCCAGCTGCAATGCAAGCGCGACCGACGCGTTTCGAACCCACGCCCAAAAACGAACACAGCAAATGGCAGCAGAACGGGTGTGTGTGTGTGTCTGTGGTAACGGCGAGCCGGCGGCGGAGGGGTCGCGGAAGTACGTTGATGCCCATCGAGAAACGACCGGCTTTCGCTGAAGTTCATGTCATGGTATTTACGTACTCTCAAGAAACGTGGAATGAATCCAGGATCTTGATCCTTCAATGGTTCAAAGTCGGCGTTTCCTCTCCCATTCCGAATATCTATGCGAACAACAGAAGCCCCATGAGGCGAGGTAATCTGCTGAGATGACCCTGCGCTGTTGTAGACTGCGCCCCACGCCGTTCTCTTTACCTCACACCGCGCGCTACGCCTGGCTCTATTGTGCAAAATCCAAACGTCTCTTGACGTTGACGCTTTGAATTCTGATTTGGACACTGATAACTGGCATTTGGTATGGATTTTGACTCTGATATTGGCTTCTCTGCTTCCGACATCGTCTCGATTTCCGATTTTGGCTTCGATGCTGACCCTTCTCTTACCTTTGCCTCGTCTACCCTTCCGACTTGGTCCAATAGGACGGCCTTGAGGGTGTCAAGCTGCGCCATGCTGAGACCCGCGCTCATCGCCTCCATGCCCCAAACCAGGTGCTCCACCCGCAACGCCAACGCTTGCGCCTGGTTTCGAACAACCCCCCAGCCCCGGTACAAAAAAGTTGGCGAACGAAATCAGCGACCATCAAACGAGAAAGAGAACACGTCCGATGCCGAAGTAAAACTGGGATAGATTGGGGCACGGGCCGGAGGCATCGACGTTGGCGTGGCCGACGGCACGGACAACCGGCACGGGGCGTGAGGAAGTATAGGCCAAAGAATAGGCGACTTTCGCCCAAATACCTGCCAAAAGAAAACAGCCATGAACAAAACCCACGCTAAACCCCACACAAGAAACCGTCGCCATGCTCCAAAGCTTTGCACAAGGGTAAGGTTTATTCCGTATCCCATACAAATATGGTAACCCAGGTTTGCGAAAATGGTAAGAGACACTCTCAAAGCACTGCCCGCCGCCCACGACACCGGACAACGCTATCCAAAAGTACCGCCGTGGCTTGAAAAAACACAGGGACACAAAACACGCTGGGGTCATGTACAGAAACCCGAAACACGATTGCATCAACGTAAAAAACATATACATGTGTTTATCGCGCGCACGCACACCTGCGGTGAAGATGACTCCAGCATGCCTTGCGCGACGCTCGCCACATTGCCCGGCATCGGAGCGCCATCGGGCATCGCGGCGGCCCCCCTCATGCCACCGACTTCCTCTGGGCGTGCCCCCATCATCACGCCACCGCCGCTCACAGCATGGGGAGCTAGCGGCGGCGGCGGCGGCGGCGGCGGCATCATCATGGCGCGGCTAGGATCACCGGCCATGCTGTTACTATTCCTTGCCGGGTGCATGTGCATGGGGGGCGGCGGGCCTGCGGGCTGGGGCATCGGGGCGAAGCCGTTGTGCCCGAATGGGGTGGCGTTGCCTCCCGCGCCCCCGTGGTGGTTGTTGTACAGAGCCTGGTGATGCTGTGGGCCCCATGCGACGGGAGGTGGCGGCTGCTGCTGCTGGTGGTGGTGGTGGCGGAGTCCGTTTCCTGCTACTAGTCCCATCGGCGGCGCACCCCCCGACATGGGCGGAAGCACCGGCGGCGGGGGTGCCGAGGGATGCATGTGCATTTGCTGCTGTAGCTGCTGCATCCCCATGTGTTGCTGCATTGGCTGCTGCAGCGGCGGCGGCGGCGACGGGATCGGGGGCTGCCAAGCGTTGGCGTTAACGTTGAGTTGCCGCCGGACGAGCAGCCCTTGTTTCTCATTGCTGTTGCCGCCGCCGCTGCCGCTGCTATCCTCCTGGTGGCTTCCAGATTGTGCGGGCAACACCGGAACTGCTTCTCCTTGCCCATCAGCTGCTGCGTGTGCCGCTGCCGCTACCGGTGCAGGCCGTGCAGCATCGCAAGGCGAGACCGAACACCGTGTGTCAACCACCGTCGATGCTGTCGGAGAAGCGGCAGCAGCAACAATAGCAACGGGCGTCACATCGGAGACAGTCGCCTGCGGCGGTGCAGCAACAGCAACAGCAACAGCAGCAGCCGCAGAAGCAGCGGTCTCGCAGGCGGCATTGACGGGGGTAAAGGCCTGCGATGCGGCCGCAGAAGGCACTCGAGATTCGCTTGACGGCATCGCGGTCAACTCACTCGCCGCCCCTCTAGACACGGCTTCCCTCGCCGGAAGGGCGGGATAGTCCGTCGAGCGGTTGCGGGAAGCAACGAACCCTTGAGGACCCTTGTTCCCGAGCGCCCGCACCCTCCCGGCCGGAACCCCCCTGACCACCGCCGACAGCGGCGGCGATGACGGCCGTGATGACGGCCGTTGTGCGCGGGGCGGTGGCAGAGTCGTCTTCTTCTTCCGGGCTGGTCGAGCTACCACCGACCAAGCTTCGTCCACCTCGTGTTCCCGGCTACCGTCAGCCTTCGATGTCGCGCCAGCAGCAAGCGCGCCTTCCTGCCCCGCCGCCGCCGCCGCCGCGGCCGCGGCCGCGGCCGCTGCAGCTTCCTCCGCCTCGGTCAGGGACGCCATGACCGCCGCCGCTTCTGCCGCCGCTGCCCCCGAGGTTCTGTCGGCGGGGTCGCCCTCGTGAGAGCCGGTCTCCGCCTCGCTGGAAGGGTGGGAGCCGGCCTCGTCGTCCGTCTTCCCCTCGCTGTCGCTGCCCGTGCCGTCCTGCTCGTAACCAGCGTCGCCGCCGTCGCGCCTTCTCTCCGCGTTGCCAAGGCCGTCGGTGGTCGTTGTTGCCGCTGCTATCGGCCGCCGGGAGGGTGCGGTCTGGCTAGCAGTTGTCACCGCCGCCGTTATCGCTGTCGAAGTGATTTCCTCTACTGCGGCTGTTGCTGCGTCGCGCACGCCGCCTTCGACGTGCATCCCATCGGCATCGCATGCCGGAGTAGTAGTGTCCTCTAGTCTTTCTTGTTGTTGTTGCTGCTGCTGCTGCTGCTTCTTTCTCTTTTTACGCGTGCTTTTCTTCCCAGTCGTTGCCCCTGTCATGAAAAACACGTACAAGATGCCAATACAGTGAGCGGATGGGCGGAGGGACAGCAAGACGTCGGGCACGGGCATGCGGCGCCGGGCAAGGCAGCATTCAAACGAAAATGAGCCAGCCATGGTTGGGGGTGCTCGCCAGGGTACTGATCTACGGGGCCTCCGGCGCATACAGTACGCGGATGATATGAGCGTGATGGACATGACGCGGGGGGGGGGGGCCTCGTGCCTCTCACTCTCTAAGCATTAAAGGTCTTGAGTCAGCCCTCTTCCTAGTTCGGTCTCTGATCAAGCTGCCGCACCCAAATACGATATATCGGGCCTGGTGGAGGGTTTTGGGGTCTGAGCTATGTGAGTCGGGCCAATGGGGCGAGGCGCCCGAATTGTATGAGCGAAGCTGGGTAGTGGCCAACGACAACGGGACAGCACAGCAGTAGGTAGCGTTTAGCTGCGACGGTGGCCATCGGGGACCGGAAAGGGTACCTTGTAAATAGCTCGGACAGCAAAGGGAATATAGCTGGGACCAGCGCTTACGGGTGATCTGGTCCGACTTCGTGAAGAGGACTAAGAGCACCATGATCGTTGCATCCTTCCAGTTTCGGCTCGTCAATCCACCCACCCCACATGCAGCCGAGAATGGCATGGAAAAACACGACCGACTCACGCAGTATATGTTTTGGAGGAAGGGTTTGGCATGCTTTGATTAGCCATGGTTGACGCCTTCATGACTTGGAAGACTCCTTAGAACATGTTTTATTGGGAGATCAACAGATTCCGTAGAGCATTGTTTACATTTGTTCGGAATTATGGACGATTGACGGTCCGATTGGTGGGGTTGTTCGATGCATGGCCGTTTCACCTGTGGTAATAATCGCGAGGAGGACTTCGTATGTCATGTCTCGTACCGAGCAGGGGGGTTCTATGGGGGGTACCCGGCAAAGTACTGATCCCCGGGGCCTCTGGGGGTGGGTGGGTGGGGGGGGGGAGTACGTGGATGATGGACATGACGCGCAGGGCCTCTCTCGCCTCCATGCCTGTCCCTATCTAAGCAATAAAGGTCCTCGAGTCCACCTTCTTTCTCTTTCAGCCTTTGACGAAGTCGCTGCACCCAAAGAAGTCAAGACGCAGAGGGATATGGCAGAAGGAGCATTTTACCTGCCAAACCGCGCCAGGCGGAGGGGAATACGGGGCGACATATCGCTTCGGTGGCATCCTGCGAGAATACACTACCCGTTTCAATGCGTAAAACTCGCGCTCTCAACATATCCACCTGAAAAAAAAAAAAAGGTCACCCACCTGAAGACCGGCCATTACCGCCCCGCTCGCCCCCCTCACCCCCTTCCAGCTCCCCAAGCAGAGCACGCTGCCTCTCTTTCGCTTCGTTCTCGAGCTTCGCCCATCTGAAAGCGCCAAAAAAAGACGGACAACCCCAGCGGCGTTCACAGAAACAAGCTCGCAGTTGGAATACTACTTCCATCAGGTGCCGCAGGCGCAACTGTATCACAGCGAGTAACAGGAGGGCTAGAATCTCGACGGCCTCCGAGATAATAGTGTATGATCCCGGAGGGACTGACAAAGAACCGAAAACGCCAGGAAACGCGGCAGTCATCAGTCCTCGACTACCTCTAACGACGCACCACCAAACCCCCCCCCCCCCGGTGTTTGCCATCGGGGTTGGGTTTTCGTCGCTTGGCAACGACGTTGTAAAACAAGCCAATTCACTTCGTGAACTCGGCAACCGAGGTTACCGTTTTTTTTTTCTTTCCTCTGTTTTTTTTTTGGCGGTAACCATAATGGTGGTCGAGTAGATCATGTTGTGCGGGGTGGAGAACCCTCGCTCCGCGCAAGGGGGATGATCGCACCACGTTGTGTTAAAATGGTCAAGCATCCTCGAGGCAGTTACACAGTGCTTACAACTGTCTCTGGAAGTGAAAGCACCAGAAAATAAATTAAGTCATACGCAGCTGTCATCCGTACGCAAGGAAGTAAGCACAAGATGCCGAACACCCTTAGCAGGATGCAGCTCACCCTTCATGCGACTCGCCAAATACCTCACGGCGCTTCGCGCTTGGTGATGTGAGAGCCTGGTCCGGTGAGAACCCGGCGTGCCCCGTCCCGGCTTTGTAGGGATGCGAGGTCAATGGTCAAACGACTACGGCATGCACGACTATGAGTACACCCCCC